CTCGAGCTTTCTTAGATACGCATGTTGCTCTTGTGTGATGGTACCGTCCTTTGCACGACTAAGTGAAAAGCCAGTGAACATACAAGGTAAGCTTTGGTCCTCTGTCATTTCAAACTTCTCGTTCGTCTTCTTAGAGAGTTTTTTGAACGAGGTGTCGCCTGCCCGAATGAGATCATCAACATATCCTCCAGATAGGCCTTTGAGCAATCCATCCTTCATCAAGACGTAAAGTGCTGGGTCAGATCGGAGAGCTTTCATCCCTAAGTCTTGTATGTGATGCTTGTCCAAAGTGTCATGCCAAATATCTCCCGACTCACACAGACCATATAAGGGCTTTATAAGTTGGAGACACTGCGACGGATGTAGCTCAAACTCAGGGACGGTATTCATTATGAATACTTCACGTGCCAAAGGTTCTGCGGATTGGAGATATGCTTGGCGAACATCACAAGTCCATATGTTGAAGCCGTGTATCCCAGCTAGGGCGAGGAGTAGTCGGATGGATTGGGGCTGAAGAGTTGATGTCGTGTGTACCATCATGTGCTTGAATCGGTCTCGATGCCCCCCGATTACATATCTAGCCTTATATTTGATGTTCCCGTCCTCAGTTGACTTAAGAGCTAGTACAAATCGTCCGGGAAGGACGTTTCCGTCAGGAGGGATTTCTTCACGCAATATTACCTTAAAGGTACCGCGTTCGAGCAAAGTTTTGATCTCCTTGCGCTTTGCCTCGCCCATTTTCTTGGAGCGAGATCGGGGATCACCTTTGTCAAGAATCTCGGTGAGATGAACTTCGTGATCATTCGGTGAGGAGAAGAAGTTGAGACCTTGACCTAACTGTGTGAAAAAGGAGTGTGCTATGGTTTCTGGTGCATGGTAATGCTTCAATTGTGCTACATTAAACGGTCTCGCAGCTCCAACTCTTACATCCTGGATGAATGCAAGCTTCTTTGTCTCGTCCACGGCAAGGACCGTAAAGGGTCCTAACCATTCGCCTATGCGGTTGTCGACTTGCTTCTCCCTCCACACGAGCACTTGGTCTCCAGGTTCATAGACACGGTCCGACGCTGGTGGAGTAGAATGTTTCAGAGCCCTCTTCACCCGTAGTTCTGCCATGTGTTTCTCCATCTGAGTTCTTGCAAGATGTGCCAGTTTAGCCCGGCTCGCAAGGACGGCTCTTTCGTTTGGGGTCTCTGACTTGGTATATACCTTTGGGAATTCTCCAAAGACAAGAGCAGATGGAACAAGTCCTTCAGGGCCCAGGGTGTCATTCATGGCTTTGACTGATAAGGCCAAAGGGGTGTCGGGGTCAGAAGTCGGATGGTCCATCATTATCTTCCGATAAGTTTGTCTGAGGGGTTGATGGTATCGCTCACAGAGTCCAAGACTCGAGTGGGCTTCTATCCCAGTTCTATTCACTTGTACATTAGACACAGCACCAATATTGATGAATAGCGGTCCAAATGCGCTCCCTTGGTCGACTAGTATCCGGTTGGGTAGACCTGTGTAAATTGTCGCCCAACATTTGAGTATCGTCGCCCATATTGTCTTCGTTGAGACGTCTGGGAGGAATTGTGCTGCAGAGAAATGCGTACCTTCATCTACAATATGCAAGACTGGTTTTCCTTCGATGTACACGATATCTAACAGTATTCTCTCATTGAAGCGGACATTCTCTGCTCCAAAAGATACCCTGAAACAAGATGGTGCGTTCTGAACCCTTTGACAAGGATAGCACCTCTTTGCGAGATCCCGTAACGTTTCCCGAGTACCAGGGGAAGCTTCTTCTGGTCGAGCACGGCGGAGAAGATTGAACAGCTTCTGAGCTGATGGATGAAAGAATTGTTTGTGTAGTTTTTGAAGTTGTGTTCTGCTGAAGTAGATATTCGGTGGGAAGTACATTTTGGCGAAAACATGATTGCTTTTAGTCCTGTACAGGGGTACAGACCATTCATTAATGTAACATATCCTTCCTTTCTTATTCTCGATCCTTTTTCGTTTTGTCAGACGATTCGCGACAGTGTCTGCGATGAGGGATTCCCGGTCCAAGATGTCCATCCCAAGTAAAGCTGGAATGTCTGCTTGAACGACATCAAGTTGCACGTTGATAGGAGCAACACCGAAGGGTGTCTTAAGTGGTATTGTAATCTGTCCAAGCGACTCAAAAGTGGTTTCGGCAAAGCGGAAACGGTTCTGAAACGGTGGCTGTGAGAGATTTGGAGATCTCAAGTCTTGTTGGGCGAATATCCAAGTCAGCTCTTCATGTCCTATGACAGATTTCGGTGCTCCAATGTCAATACAAAAGCCTTGATAACGGCAACGGTTATAGTTGTTCAATTTCGTTGTATGAATGTGAGTCGCATCGACATCGACGGGAGATTGTTTGCGCCTCGGATGGGTGGTGCGATGGGAGGCTGCCCATCGCGCTGGGCGGCGAAGTTGAGGCTGATTACTTCGTCGCCGAGTTAAAAATCCTGCTCATCGATGTTTGTGCCGTAAGGAGTATGTCCCTTTGACATGGATGATGATAAGTGATGGGTGAACCATTCCTTATCTTCCTCTTCAACGGCAGCAGTATCCTGAACAGGATTGTCAGACGTTAATGAATCGAACAGGTATACCTCCTCTGGGTTCTTGCTGAAGTGGACGTGCCGGTCTGTTGCTTCATTGTCGTGTGTCAAATTGTTTGGGGTATCCGTTGATTCAGGCAGGTCATGAGTGAGTTCTCCCTCCAGGGCTGCCACAAAGTCAGACATGACATGTACTGCCGATTCGCCATTGACCATCCGCTGACGCACCTGATTCCGAATGGATCCGGCTTTGCATCGATGTCCCGGACGCCATGCAGCACGACATCTATGACATTCGTTCCGACGTCTGCTCTCTTCGAAAGTACGATTTGCGGGAGAAGAAGCAATGCCCGGGCGACCAATATTCAATTGTTGTCCACCCTTGAATTCTCCTCTCGGAGGGTACTTCTGCACATACTTCGGGTTACGGCCATACTGTTGTACGAAAATGTCGTCTGAGAAAGCATGTCGGATACCCGTAGGTCTCCTGGAGACATTGAGTATCTCTTCCTCAAGTTGCATGTGCTCACGGAGTGATGTGATAAATCCATTGAATGAGTATTGCGCAGTGACAATATTACTTATGGGAGTCTTCGACCAAGAGTAGCCCAATACAGCGTTGCGCAAGTGTCCGATCTTGTGCGGTTCAGATCTAAAATGTGGAGGGCATTGTGGTGACATTTCTTCGATCATGCTGACAACCTTAGTCAAGCCCTCAGTGGATGAGGATAGCTCATGTTCCGACATTTTACTGTTCATTCTTAACGTAGACAGTATTCCATATACTTGGATTTGGCGTGCGTTGCTGTTGAATTCTGTCACCATCATCTCTGCCATCTGTTCAAAAGACATATCATCTCTAGCGTTGTTGAAGAAGAATGTCCTTGCCGGTCCATTAAGAATGTTAACAAAGTAGTCTGCCTTTTGCGAAGTAGACAAGCGATGTTGACGTGCACATATGTTGTAGTCGCGAAGCGTCATTTCGATTGACTGAGTCAGGCCACCGGTAAAACGGTTATCCTTGAAGTGCTGAAATACATAGTTTGCCTTTCGAGTGTCTTCTCTCACATCTACCGAATACGGAAGGAAAGATTCGACCCCTGCGACAGTCGTAGACGGTGGGACAGCACCATTTGTTTGATTACCATTACGAATGCCATGTTCCGCTCCTGCAACATTGATAGCTTGACGATGATGAGTATGCTGGGAAGTTCCATTACCTCTCGGAGTGGTAATAACATTCGGTATCGAAGACGGAGTGTCACCGGAATTGTCCCTGTTGTCCGCTGGTACGACTTGTGGTGTTGCTTGGACACCTGCAGTTAAAAACACGGGTGCTTCAGTTGCAGCACTCCTTTGTCTGGTTAGGAGGTTGGGTGATCCCCGAGTACAACGATACGTTCCCACGGCGGTGCGAACAGTATCTTGAGAGCACCCTAAGAAGTTTGTAAACCAAACGTGTGTCATGATCGAACGGTTGCTGGTATCACTAGAACTCAGTTCTAATGCTGTGCTCAAACCTTCAGGAACACCACCAAATCCATAGAAAGTGGCAACATCCCGTAACAAAGCAAGAGGGAACAAATGCGCGCGTAGTAGTTCCACAGTTAGAATGTCCTCAGGTGACGGCATCAAACTCTTCATGGCTTCTCTCACTTCATCAATAGGGGGCATAGTTACACCCGCAGAACTTGCCGATTCGTCGGCGATGGGGTACAGGTTGAGAGTGTAGAGAGCTACGTCCCGTAGCTGTTTTCCATGTTCAGTAGTGGGTTCTACTATAGATGCAGATCGCTTGAGGCGCTGGTACCGAGCATTCACTTGAGCACGGGTAGCAGTAGCCATGGTGGTCAACCACCAGGGCACAAGTAGATTCAAGGTAAACGTATGAGCGAAGATTAGTATCCAGAATCCGGATTGTCGTTGGAAACCTCTTTGCTCTCTGCGCACGAGGTTCTCGTCGTACAATCGTCGAGCAGTAAAGGCTCGTGCGGGAGGGGGTGTGGAGAAAAAGGAGAACAGGATGTTGGGTAGAGGGGTCTCTTCCCTTCTGTCAAAGATACGCATAAAATGCACTTTACTTCGATAAACCCAACTGCCTCCTCTGCTAGTGATGAGGATCGTACCCAGGTATATGTGGTGGACTCAGTCTCGTCGGCGCTAATCGCCGACAGACTGAATGTAAATTTCTTATTATTTCGAGTCGATCTCGATCTCGTTTTGGGCTGACGTGTGACCAATTATCTGTCGAGTATCTCGAGTCTCCAAGACCTCATAAGTCCGACAGTTTCTGTATCTCGGTTGCCTTCCTGACTCGAGCACTGTTGTGGAAAAACAAAGCAATCTGAATTCTCCTGATATATGAAGAACTGAGTCTAAATTGTTTTGGGTCACGCAGCGGTGAGCTTCTGGAACAATACTGTTGATAGGATCTCGAATAGTGATTCAAATTTACCGAAGTGTCCCGACAAGAACGAGGGGGAGCTCAGACGGAGCATTCAGCTGATAGAAGCTAGCCTGAAGGCAGCTAGGAGAGAACTAGCTGCGCGGGTGGCAAGCGAGACACAGGTGGCCTCGGCGTGTTCGGACCCGTGGAGGCCACGTTACCGCCAGCGGCTACGCGCGGGCTCAGGCATGGCGTGCGACTCCAGCGTCAACTCAGAGAGACATCACGCATTCACGCATTTACGCATTTTGGAAGTCAGAGACCGGACACTGATCGTAAGCCGTGGATCCGTGGGTGCTGCTAGTCCCGACCGGGCGTCCACGTCAGGCGGCTACGTCAATAGCCCGAGTCACAACTTAGGCCTGTTGTCTACCGCAGACACGCACTCCACTCTGCCCTGCGTAGGAGAGCTACCGTGTCGCGCGGTGCCGGTGCAGTATCCTACGTCACACTGAGCTCCGTCATCACGGTCCTCCCTGACAACGCCTTCGCGAGGGAAACATCCGATAGGAGACGCCACTCTGTTAAGACTTAATGCCCACTTGTGCGGGTGCGACCTTAGGTCCCGAGCGTACGCCGTGTATTGTTCCCCCTCCGCACCTGCTGTCTAGTCCAGTGAAGGACCACTCTGGGCCGACAAAGTCCCTCCAACTCACGCTTTGTCTCTTGAGTCTGTTACGCACGTTTGACGGAGTCAGGGCGGAAGAAATCTGTTTCGGAAAAAACAGAGATGATCACTTGCTCCCGATACTGTGCTCCGCATCTGAATTAGCTCTTTCTAAGTTCTCATGCCCACCAGGCCGGTCAAGAAATTCTCGTAGCCCGGTCGTATACCCCCAGTCGACTAGTTGACTTGTGACGACCCTCCATACCTGTAGCTGTTCTGGAGGCACATGTCGCTTGATACTAGATTCGATCCTGCTCGATAAGTCCAATGCTGAACGCCTCTTAATCGCGCTCGGGCTTGTGTCGCCTTTGACCCAGAGTAGCTCCTCGACTAACAACTTCAGTTAGCAATAACCCGGTACTCTCGTGCCAGTCAGTGTGGTATCTTAGCCCTGATAACCGTGACACTTGGTTAACTACCAGACCCTCGCTGTCAGGGAAGATGATAGCATCTTTACAGAACAACATACCCATAGATTCCACGAAGTCCGCATCCGTGTTGATATCCATAGTATATGCCCCCCTGGCAGTTGCCGTCAACGCGCAAGAGTCCTGAGGGCTTAGTATCCTACCTATGTCTGCAAAATAGGTGGCCCACTTTAGGAACGCAACCCTCTGCGCTGCTGGGACATGTTCGCTAATCCCGCCCACTGGCCTCCTGGATCTCACGGCGTCCCGCACTGACTCTCCAGAGCCAAACAAGTGATTATAAATCACATAAAAGGCGGAACCTGCCGCGAAAGCAGTGACTAACACCTCCACATCATCCTTGGGAGTGCCGATCTCCCCCGTAAAGTAGTAGGTGATAGCCGACAATGCGAGAACAACTGTTAAGATATTTCCGAAGAATGCCCTGCGCGAAAATACGTGCGTTCGTCCTTCGATATCCATGAACGTTTGACGATTAGCCTTACGCTTCATGTCCGTGTCCTGCCACATCTTCTCCATCCTCTTCGTGGTGCAGTAGCATGCTTTACAGGCAGATCCCGTCGGCCTGACCACCGTTCCGCAAGGTAAGTAATTTAAGACGAACTGTCTGTCATAGATATCCACTTCCCCGCTGTGGTATTCTCTGGAAATAGCTGCTACGTGCCTTGAATGACGAATGACCAGTTTGAAGATCGGCTCTCTGTCCGAGGATGGCAGGTCATTAAGCTCGAGCGCTAGTCTGTAGGCTCTGTCTGGGAAATCACTCCCCAACTGATCACTCCTCACATACTCAACCAAGCCCTTCCTGTCCACGTCACAGAACTTGACAGGAACGACATGCCAGCCAGATTCCGCTACGGCTTGGCCACTTGCTGTCGCATTAATAATGGCCTGCACGTACTTCCTAGGCTGCTGCATGAATTGTGCGGTATGGATGCCTTCACTCAAGTTGTAAGCCAACCTTCCCGACACGGCCGCCAGAAGTGACGAGGCCAGATACCTGTCAGTAATTTCCTGTTCGTTCTCATATGTGCGGAAACATTTATCCGAATCAGATACTCGAATGATGCAGCTTAACCCGTCATCTGCATAAACCGTTCCGTCACTTTTGCCATCTCCTTCTCGACGGATGTGCACTATCCGCTTCCAATTCTCTCTATTCCCCTGAGATCCCTTGACCCAACCCGATTCTCGGACTAGCGAGTGCCCTTTGTCGAAATCCTGAAGGTCGACGTCGGCCTTGCCGGCCAGTCCTGTTACCCAATCCGTGGTTGTCATGATCGCGCCTTAATCCGGATTGTCGTGCAACGTCCCTCTGACGCGCGAATAGCTTGCTCCCTCTTGAACAATCAGGAGGGGGTGCGGAGCGGGCTATGTCAATGGGACGTGAAAGTCTCTACGCTCACAGTGCGAAGAAAAGGAAAAACTTCACTTTCGCAATCCCCGGTAACATGTTACCCCGTTTCGTTTTTAACAACGGTGCTAACATTAGCAGGGGGGATGGATACACACATACAGCCTCTGCGAAGTTGGTCTAATAAAACCAACACGTACCCCTACATGTAGCACCAGTATGAGCATCTGCGCATCATTTGGTGACTACTGTACATCGCAAATTTCGTGTAAAATCCTTTGAGTGCATATGGGCCAATCCTGCAGCTCGGCAACAATGTAAGGCTGTGGGTCCCCAGTGGGGACCCACAGCCTTACATTGTTGCCCGGCAACGCGATTTCGGGTTGTTTTTTCATTTTTGCTTTTTGCTTGTTTATTCATGCAGAAACTGAGAAACTTGATGATTCTTCATGAAGAAACGACTTTAGACAATGGGAGACACTGCATGGAGATGGGCTACAGGGACCCTAGGAAGGCATGGGGGATCTCGATTTCGATGGTTGATCGCGATTATCGGTGGGTCGCCTGAAGAAGGCCGAAGTGGTGATTTTTTCATTTTGCAGCATTATCTGGCAGTTTTTGCGCGCAATTGCGCGCAAAAACATGATTTACGAGCGAGCGGAGAGCAATCATGGTCCATGATTGCGCTGGGAGAAACAGCTACGCTGACGATAGGGCACTTCTCGTTTCGCGAGGAACCCGTTCCGGAAGTGCTTGGCGAGTTCTCCATGTGCACTGCGCTAGCCGTGCTCGAGGCATCGTTTCAGTATACCGAGCCTGACATCACGGTATCTTCTGACCAAGTGTCACAGCTACGGATTTATGCGCGGCATCCGCGCTGACGCCCATTGCCTACAAGCCTTGCAGAAGCTGAGGTCGAGGTGGCAGCTGCACAAAGCTCTCCTCGACGACATGCCTGGGCGGTAAGCGCGGCAGCGTGATGCCAACAACGGGATGTTCTCGCAGGAGGCGGTAGGGCGAGCCGCACGTAAAAGGCTCCGAGCAGGCGCGCGTATCTATAGTCGTTTTGCATAAGAAACACGGCGATCTCGGGTTCCTGGGGGGATAGCTGTAGCAGCTTGAGGAGGAGGCAGAGAAAAGGGGTGGGAGGGGCGGTGACGGCAGAGATACGGTCAAGCCGAGCGGCGAGGGGAACAACGTCGGCTAGTGTCACGCCGAAACAGGATTCGTTCCAGAAGCGCGAGAGGTACACGCTGTGGCGGAGCGATGGCTCCAGGAGATTCTGCGGATCAGTGCCGCGCGAGTGCAGGGCGTAGGTGTCTGTCTTGTTCGCCATATTGTCGGTAGCAAGACGTAAAGGAAAGGGGTTAGCTGGCTGACATGGACAGCACCAGCTAGAGCTATGGAGATCGGGGAAAGTTGTCCATATCAGAGGCAGTTTTTGATCCTTCCTTGCTGTCGACATTATCAATATTTCGATAGCTCAACTTGTGCAAAGAGAGCATAACGTAGGTATTCCGGCAGAGTTCTTGCATTCATATCCGCGCTGTCTTTACTGGCGACATCCCTTACTTTGGGACTACAGCTCCGCCCCTCTTTCGACCTTCGTAGGACTACCGATGCAAGCGAGTTCATGTCAGCGAACATCAACTCGCATCAACAACAAGGTGAAGACCATTTCCCGTGTGCCGCCCCGAATCAACATGAACTACTTTCAGTTCCAATATCACATCCCCAACGCCAGATCGACCATGCCCACACTACCCTACACATGCTTGTCTGAGCATTCCACAAAGCCTATGGTGGTGTCCGCTACACCCGTCCTACCTCTAGTTAGGAAGAGGGGGCTGTACCAGTCAGGATAAAGCAAAGATGAGAAAGCTCAACACAGTTACAGTATGTGCAGTTGCATTTTGCAACATATGTTACCATTCAAATAGGGGTTTTGAGCTAGTAGGTAGTGCCCTTCACACTTGTTCCGCATGAACCTCATAGAATCACTCTTTTTTCTATTAACACTGCTGCTCGCGACGTACTGCGTGAAATGTAACGTGGTTTTCTCGCATTCTGCCTTTCGTTGATATGACATCCATTGTCTATTGCTCAGTAGAAGCCGTGGTATTTGGTTTCGCAGTCTTTTGAAACTGGGCTACTTCAAATCACCGTACACACACACAAAATGTTTGCCAGCCGGAATTTTGCTACCATCGTCTAGCTCTAGATTGTAACAACTGTATTCAACCTTTTTTTTGAGATAGTAAGAGCTCTTCACACGTCCTTCATATCACTTATGAGGAGTGTTGGGGCGAAAACGGGGTACGTCGTCCGGTGTCTTACCCGTGTGTGTTTTTTTTGTGATGTGTCTGCCCTCGGCCGTACAGGACGACCGAAAACCACCACATTTATACTCTTTTTGCGCACGGTCTACAATTACTAACTTAAACTTCCAATTACTTACACCGGTCCCAACCACGTGTCACACAACCCCCCACTTAGGCGGGGCCACGGGCCCGGGCCACTCAGATTTTGCCTTTGATTTTGATTTTTCTTCACCCTCCAGCCTATATCAACAGAGAGCTGGGGCTCGGACCCCCTTCCCTTCTTTTGGTATCTGCTGTCACTCTCCGTTCGCCTTTCTCGCTCCATCCCAGCCTCGTTTTAGCTCTTCCGGCCTCCTGCTTCCTGCGCTGCTTAGCTCTCGCGGCTCTTCCGCGTTGCCTCCTTGGGCCTCGTCGTAGCTTAGACCTCCTGTTTCCCACCAAATTGACAGGCACGTAGGTGGGGTTTCAGTCCCTGCGTGCCCTCTTTGGCCCCGCTCATAGCGTAATACGATGGTGAGGACCAAGCAGACAGCGGCGAAGAGCACGGGAGGTACGCGTCCGTGGAAGCAGCTCGCTCTGAAAGCTGCACGCGTCTCCAGCTGCCGCCATTTAATGTTCGAGCTCTCATCTCGAACAGATGTAACCAAGGTTTCCAAGACGGGCTCCATATTCCACATTTGGGTGGCCAGCGGGCATCGCCGTTACGCCGAAACAGAACAAGAGTTCAAAAGCCTTCTAGGAGATCTTATTACCGCCCTGCTCCACCGCAAGCAAGGTTAAGAGGTTTCTCTCAAAGATATATGGAGTCTTGGTCTCACAGAGTCGTTGTCGGACATAAACCAGTACTGTTTTATAGGCGACGGTGAGTGGAATATTGAGTCCATCTATCTCGACGTTGAAAACACGTACTATGGCGTCGACGCCGCAACCAACCTTCCTCACCGTATTTTGCTCTACACTCTAGCAATTTCCGGAACCGGGAATAGTACAATTCACAAGATTGTTGACGATCTCTTCCAGTTTGGTGGGAGAGACCGAGTTAGTGGCTTCTTAAGTATTGACCGTTTTTGCACCGATCAAACGGGCAGGAGTCTGAAGATGATCCATGGTCGTTCCAGGGCGGTCAATCCTCGGACTCCGATCTACCGCGTTTCCACACACGGGACCGTGCGGTTCCGAGATAATAGTGACATGTGCATCTCCGCCGCCGTCTGCAACGGTCTCCAACTACTAGGGTCCCGAACCTTGCCGTCAAGTACTGGGATCTTTAAGTCCGCAACAGCCTCCTCTTTGAGAGGACCGGCTCCCCGTCGCGTCCAATCCGAGATTTCCATGACGCTGCAAAACACCTTAATCAAGATTAAGTCACTCTCCGCGGGTCGGGTCTTCGTAGTCCATCTCTCGGACTCCTCTTGAGGCTCGACCCGGGTGTCTATGTCGCGACTTTAGAAGGCTTTCCCCACATAGTGCACAGCATCTGCGTCTCGACAGTACATTCCATTGTACTTGATTGTATGGAGGGGTTTCCGCTTCGGTTCTGTGCCGGCGCGGTCAAAGCATGCGTTGGAGCCGACGGGATCTTCGTTGGCGTCTCCGAACTGCGCCAAGTTCTCTTCGTCACCCCTTCCAAGAAGAAACGGAGCAGAATTGGACGCGTAAGCAGCCGCAGAGCACACAAGAAAGCCGCGATGCGGGGTTCGGGAAGTTCCATTCAGCATTAGAGGTCATTGGTGATTCCCATTGTCTCCATGACCCACTCTCTATCTACTCGTAGCAAGTAATCAGCACTTCATATGCATTTCACTATCTTTCAATTCAAAGCGTAAAATCCCTAGTCATTTGCCTCACTGAGAGTGCAACGGTTGCCTCTTGTCGAGGACCAGCCTTCTGGCATGTATCTCCCTTCTCGAGTAGCGTTGATGCGGCGACACTAGGGTGTACCGCGGATGGCGTGCACGAGCAACTCGGCATGGGCCATAGAACTTCGACAAGGCGATAGGCCATTTCTGCATGGGCCTGAGGGCAGCCCCTTTTGCGACCAACACTTCGTCGCCCACATTGAAAGTTGCTTCGCGACCGTCTGTTAATGTGGTTGCAGCTCTGCGCCCGATTATTCTTGTTGCCCGCATCGCCCTGGCTTGCAGGAGTTCCATTTCCCAGTGGCGGATCTCGCAGACTTCGAAGAGAGGCTCTTGGTCTTCAGGCGCCATCCTGGGCAACACCCCATAAAGCAGCTCGAACGGGGACAATCCCACCGCCATCCTCCTGCGACGATATCCATATAGGACTTGACGTAAAGCATCGTCCCACTCAACAATTGCAGGCGAGGCACGGAGAATCATCTTACGGACTGCTCTCTTCAATGTGCCGACCATCCGCTCTGCCCGTCCGTTCGACATAGGCGCATAGGCGAGCACTGTCTTCCACTTAATCCCGTTTCGTGCCATGAAGGCATTCAGGACCGACGCTGTGAAACAAGTAGCGTTGTCCGAGACAACGACACGTAGTAACCCAAAACAGTGGATTATCTCTTCTTTCACGAACTTCAGCACCTCCTCTGCCGTCGAGGTGACAGTGGCCTTCGCAATTGGCCAGCCAGTCAGGTGCTCCACGGCAATAAGGATGTACCTCCCTCCAGAGGGCGTACGAGGCAATGGTCCCGCAAAATCAATAGAGTATGTATCAAATAACGAAGTCATGGGAAATCGAAGGGTGGTCTTGTACTTCGTAATTGGTGTGGCTTTCTGACAACCGTCACAACCCCGAACGTAGTCGTTCACGTCTCGGTGGACGGCAGGCCACCAATATCGGTCCAAGACGAATCTCTTCGTCGTTTGCAGATCCCAATGGCCTATTTCGTCGTGAATGGCTCTAACGATCTTTCTGCGAGCCCCTATAGGCGGGATAGCGCGTAATCCATTGTTGGTCCTACGGAACAGTTGTCCATTACAAGCCATGAAACGTTTGGCGCTTCGGCGGTTGAGCCGACGTCGACGAACATCCACTTCCCTCATATCAATACCCCCGAGGTGCCTTGAAATGTCAATAAAATGGGGTTCCCACTCCATTTGCGCCTCTAGAGGATCCGAAACACCGCAGACAAGATCTCCCTCGTCGTCAGAGTCGACTCCATCCTCGCCCTTGGCTTTCAGGCGGGACAGGAAGTCAGCTGCACCGTTCTTTCCTCCCGGGCGGTACTTAATTTCGAATTCGTAATCTGCTAGGATGTCCATCCACCTTGCCAACCTCCCGTGAATGTCTTTCTTCTTAAAGGCATACTGCAGGGCTTGGTGGTCTGTTATTAGCGTGAATTTCTGTGTTGAAGGCAGGTAAACTCGGAACTTCTTCAAAGCGAAGATCACAGCCAGGGCCTCTCGCTCACAGGCGGAATACTTCCTCTCGGCTGACGTCATCGTGCGACTTGCGTACTGGATCGGGTGGACTTTCCTGTCCTCTTTTCGTCGGGCCATAACAGCTCCGACGGCGACCGAGGATGCATCAGTCTCCACGACAAAAGGTTGTTCGAAGTCCGGAACGCCAAGACTGGCGAGGAGGTTAACTTGAGATTAAGCTTCTCGAATGCCTCCTGCATCTTCGCCGTCCACTTAAAAGTCCGTTTAGTAGACGTGGCCTCATGTAACGGAGCAGAGATCTCGGCGAACTTAGGAATGAAGCGGCGGTAGTATCCCGCCAGACCAAGGAAGCTACGAAGCCCTGTCGCATTGGACGGCTCCTTCTCCCTCTTAATGGCGCTGACCTTTTCGGGGTCCACTTTGACGCCATCTCCGGTGACTATGTGTCCAAGCAGTCGCGTTTGGGACTGTGCGAAGCTGCATTTTGAGATCTTAAGCTTCATCCTGTTCGTAGCAATCACCTTGCAGACTTCACGTAAGTGTGAAGTGTGCTCTTCAACGCACTACGAGGTCAGATTTTCAATATCTGAAATGATTTTTTAGAATGGCCCGGTAGATTTAGTGGTTCGAAATTTGTTTTAGATTTTTTGGCGCGCGCGCAGCACACTTTTCTGATCGTATCAAACCTACCGCTGGTCTAGCTTGATGAGCCATTTTTAATGTAAAATATAGTATAGGACGGATATCTGTTAGTTTCTACTAGATCCAGGCTGATATTGTACTGGTGCGCACCAACACTTTGAAGCTGCATAGTGTGGCCATCCACGTGTGGAAAATGGGAAGGAGCTTAGTTCATTGCTCGAGATCGCTTCAGTGTAAATGTATCGCATCGTCGTTTATTAGTAGCCTTAAACTACATTACTATACATTACCGCCAGCGGTGTTGGGTGAACCCGGCACATCCTGTTGACCAACAGTTCCCGGGTGCCCCGGACTGACAATTTCGTTCATCGCATCTTCGTTCAGCTCTCGACGCGCGTCCGCGCAATGCGAGTCCCCCACAAACATCACATATGGCATCACGACTGCCAGCTGCCCTGGAACACGAACATTCCTTTTCCTGTCCCTCTTAGACCAGTGCCCGGAAACCTCTTCCGCTCTCCGCCACACCAAATGAAAAGCCCGACGGGGCAGAGGAACTGCGCTTGACACATTTGGGTCTTCCACTATGGACGGCCTCCGCCTAGTACAACGCAGGCCTGCATCGAAGGTCTTGCTTTCCGAGTCCCATATGCGGTTGTTCCTGAACAACACAAGCTCTCCGCTCCCGGGGTTAGCAACATCCCTTTCGAAGGTGTTTCCGCAACTGTGCCCTACAAAAACTGCAGCGGGGGCCCCGACATCGCTCGAATATACATACGTACCCATCAGCCTCAACATTCTGACCCCCGCACTGCCCTCCTTCTTCAACATCGCGAGACGGTCCGCCTTATGGTATAATCCCAGAAATGAACAAAGCCCTGCCATGCGATTGAACAGTATGTAGAATGTCTGCGATGTCCCGGACGGGCCCTGTGTCTCTGCATACTCAGGATAGAACACCAGACGCAATGTCGAGTCCTCGACCATGCAGCCGTATAGATTCCTCGCTATCAACTCAAAATCTGCCAGCTCGCAATCCGCAACGACCCGAATGAAGCTCTGCGTCATACCCCCTAAGGTCCCTATATTCATTTTGTCGGCCGACGTTTGTTCAATATGACTTGACGGCTTACGCAGCGACTTCTGCACTGCGACTTCCAGGCGGTGGCGCAGAAAGTTCACTATCTTCAGCACGGACTCATCCCTTGTCGACGACAGCCCCTCCGATATCCGACAACTGTTTAGCTCGACCTTCCGATTTAGCATGTCTACTTGGCCAAGTACTTGTGCATGGCTTTTCCTCAGTCGATCAACGATATCCGCGAGTTCTTTCATCCGGTACTGGTCAACAACTCTCCGCCTCTTACTGTTTTTTGCAATATCATCTCCAGTCCAGTCTCTATCCGCTTCATCCATCCCGTCATGAGCCTGTGGAATAACTGGCGTCCGCCATGTCAGTACCGGATTGTTATTCTCGTCTCCATCCAGCTCCGCGCGTCTCAATAAACGGCCAACAACGAATTCCACTTGATGAATATGATCACCGTATGCAGCCTTCTCCTCGTATTCCAAAGTAGCTGTCGCCAACACCTGAACCTTATCGTTTGCGGCCGTCGCGGGAGCATCCTCAATATCTGTTACTTGTGCGCTGCACCACGTTGCTTCGTCGTCATCGTCTTCCAACATCCATAGAACCTCGACAAAATCATTCGGTAGAGGCAGCGCTTCTCTTTCTCGGCATGCCCGAAGGCGTTGCATTCCTCTGTCAAGGCGGACGTCACTTAT